ATAATAATAAGTTTAAAAAAAAAATACCCGAATAATAACATAAAGTGCTATGTAACTATAAATTAGTAATTACATAATTATTGACAATCTACAATATTTTTACCAATTTAGTATGTTTTAACACATAACATTAAATAAAATTATGATATTTGGATATTAAACCAAATAGTGATAAGTGATAACGCATAATTGACCTAACCAACCGAAAATTATAGGTACGTTATTTCAGTATTGTTGTGTATTGGGTATTATCAATGATAACTTTATTACGTGGTAACTTATGACTGAATGCCCAGTGGATGAAAAATTGCTTCTACAAATTATATAACAGTCAATTTTGTATTTCATAATAACACCTACACTAGAGTCGATCAGCAGCGCGCCGAACGTTTCCTCGGACCCCGCTGACCCATAATATTCAAATTTATGTAGTTAAGTAACTACTCATCCAAAACGAAAAATTCAAGTATATATACATTTAATATACAATAGTTCTTGATAATTTTAACAACAAAATTGGTGTTGCCTCCTGCCCTGAACTTGTAACTTCAATAAAGTTCAATTAAAGTTTCAAAAAATGCTCTCAAGTTGGGAGGGAGTAAAAACAAAAAAAAATAACGAAAAATTGAGATCTCATTGCATAAAAACAATATGTAAATATAAAATAAACTTTCTTATTAAACCCAGTGACATATTAAGTGGTTAACGATAAGTTGATCACTTTGTAACATCACCTAACATAATAATATGAATAATATTATTTCGTCCTTTTAGTCATAATATTACTTTCAAAACCCTTATAAGTTTAGTCATTACTATATTATGCATTCAACTCGCGTTATACATTTTATTTCAACCTTATGTTTACACAAATTGTTAACGATTTATTTTCTTTCATAAAATTATACAATATTTTTCAACTATTTCTATAATTTTTATATTATCAAAAAAAAGTGGCTTTTCACAAAAACTGCTGCATTATAAATAATGACAAATAACTGTAGGCGTTATACATTTTTATGTTTTTACATTATGTACTACAAAGACTACTATTACAGGGCTTTTATTGCTTTTATCGAAAACAAGTTGATTTTATTAGTATTTTGTGTACTAAAATGTTAGAACTGTTTATTATCTTGCATTGAAGGACCCTGATTTTACAATAACTATTAACGGATTTTAAAATAATTTTTTTAATTAAATAATATTGCCCGTGTGGCTCTCGGGAAAGAAAAAGGCCATAAGTTGTTCCCCTGTCGTAAAAGGCGACTTATAGGAACACCGAAAGTCTCCCGGGATAAGGAGTTTCCTCTACAAAGCCAATGGCTTTCGAGGCAGTTGAGCTGAGAAGAGAAGAGCACTTTTTTGACCTAGATTTGGGAAACCGGCTCTAATAGCGGACCACATAAGTGGTCAACGGCATAAAGATGTAGAAGGCAAAGGACATCCACTACATTAAAGATCCTACAGGATAGTCTATGTGAAATCATTCATGGCAAACACATAACCCCCTACATGTAGCTAAATCATATAAGGGGTGACATAACACATTTGTTTATATGTTTTTATATTTAAATAACACATTTGTAAGAATTTAATCAACAATTGGGTCGTTAACTGCAAAAGTCGTGTATCTTTACATTTTTAAAATATATATACTTTTGCCTAATGGAGTCACTTAAGTTGTATAATGCCAACAGCTATTAATTGTAATTTGTTGTAATTAGTATAAACATTTAGGTACACAAGTGATTAAACAAAATATTTTTAATATTTTGTATTCTACTTTATTTGTATGCTAAATTTTAAATGTCAATTAATAAGTCTTTTACCTTCACCGAACAAAGTCTAGATATACATTTATTAGAGTTTTTTTTTACTTGTTACTGTTATAATAACTGTGGCGAGTACCTATTTTTTTTAATTTACATACAGTTAATGTATTGCGTTTTCCTAAATCAAAAATGTTTTATAATTATAACTTATTAAAAGGAGTTTTTGTAAAATCATTTATCTTGAATTTGGTAATTTAATTTTGTATTTTGTTTTTTTGTATCAAAACTAAGCTGTTTTTCACAGCAACTGTTGTAATGTAAACAAGTTTTTATAGGTATCACAAATGTTGAATAATATACGAATCTCCGTATTTTACAAAAACAAATTGTATAGTTTATTTGCTTATTTTTTTATCGAATTGTTTTTCTTAACATATTTTGTTTTGCAGTTGTTTTTATATTTAAATTTTTGACCAATTTTATTTCTTACACTCCATGTTACAATAATTATAGCAGATATGTCTAATTATTATTAATTGGAGTATTACACTTAAATGCATTTTTAGATAAAACATTTCTTTTTGCAAAAACGCTAAGAATACTTTTTCTAAAACTTAATACAATACTTTTACACAACTGGAATGGTTTTAAATTGCACCGTTATTTTTAAACATGAAAACATGTTCTTAGCAAAGTTAATATGTCGTTTTTTACAACGACTCTTGCGATGTAGATAAATCAAAACACCCTTTAATATCGTATACTTATAATTTTTAATGACTTAAGAGTTAACACAATTTTAACTTCAGAGCAGTTATAATTCCCAATAACAATTTGCATAGTTTTATATAACACTATTCATGTTTAAGTATGTTATGATAATCATACAAGCAAAATACAATAAAAAAAATCAGTTGTTTTTTTATCACTTAAAATATATGGGCGATTTTATTTTATAGATTCTTCATTTATTAATTTATGTCATCGAATTATTTCAAAATTTGTGTGGTGTTCTTTGGTTTTCGCCTGATAGCTACAGAAAACGGATATCTAGTGCTAAACTATAACAGTTGAAACTTTCGAGTTTAACTTGATTAGTATATTAATGTATAAAATTATACATTTAAAGTTTAAGTCCAAAAACCCGGAATTTTGGAATATTTAATGATCCTTCAAATTTACTTATTAATACCAGTATTCGAGTTAAAGTAATAATAATTGAATTCTATGCTGGGATTTATTAACAATTACGTTATTATTAGATACTAAGAGTAGTTTAAACGCCCAACCAGGTTATCGTTTTATTTCAAGTATATTTTGCTAATATGCAAAATATCAATTTTGATTAGTTATAATTTGCAGCAAAATGTTCATATTTTGTCTGAAATAGTTAAGAAGATATTATATACATGTTTATATTGACGAAACATTAAACACGCCCAATCAATTTAATGTACGTATGTTAGTGGATACAATGTAATTTATCACATTCAAATTACAATAGCTTTTCTAACTTGTTTAAAAAAAAAACTATTGAATCTAATACTTGTATTACTGCGTGTTTATCGTCGGTTATCGTTTGCACGATTTATTTTGTAAGTTTAAAATTGTGTACATAGCCCTCCGCCGAGACCCCGTATTTACTATTACTCAAACTATTGCAATATTAAGTAAATGTAATTTAATATTGTATTTTGTTTTTTTTTTATCAAAACTAAGCTGTTTTTCACAGCAACTGTTGTAATGTAAACAAGTTTTTATAGGTATCACAAATGTTGAATAATATACGAATCTCCGTATTTTACAAAAACAAATTGTATAGTTTATTTGCTTATTTTTTTATCGAATTGTTTTTCTTAACATATTTTGTTTTGCAGTTGTTTTTATATTTAAATTTTTGACCAATTTTATTTCTTACACTCCATGTTACAATAATTATAGCAGATATGTCTAATTATTATTAATTGGAGTATTACACTTAAATGCATTTTTAGATAAAACATTTCTTTTTGCAAAAACGCTAAGAATACTTTTTCTAAATTTTAATACAATACTTTTCCACAACTGGAATGGTTTTAAATTGCACCGTTATTTTTAAACATGAAAACATGTTCTTAGCAAAGTTAACATGTCGTTTTTTACAACGACTCATGCGATGTAGATAAATCAAAACATCCTTTAATATCGTATACTTATAATTTTTAATGACTTAAGAGTTAACACAATTTTAACTTCAGAGCAGTTATAATTCCCAATAACAATTTGCATAGTTTTATATAACACTATTCATGTTTAAGTATGTTATGATACTCATACAAGCAAAATACAATAAAAAAAATCAGTTGTTTTTTTATCACTTAAAATATATGGGCGATTTTATTTTATAGATTCTTCATTTATTAATTTATGTCGTCGAATTATTTCAAAATTTGTGTGGTGTTCTTTGGTTTTCGCCTGATAGCTACAGAAAACGGATATCTAGTGCTAAACTATAACAGTTGAAACTTTCGAGTTTAACTTGATTAGTATATTAATGTATAAAATTATGCATTTAAAGTTTAAGTCCAAAAACCCGGAATTTTGGAATATTTAATGATCCTTCAAATTTACTTATTAATACCAGTATTCGAGTTAAAGTAATAATAATTGAATTCTATGCTGGGATTTATTAACAATTACGTTATTATTAGATACTAAGAGTAGTTTAAACGCCCAACCAGGTTATCGTTTTATTTCAAGTATATTTTGCTAATATGCAAAATATCAATTTTGATTAGTTATAATTTGCAGCAAATTGTTCATATTTTGTCTGAAATAGTTAAGAAGATATTATATACATGTTTATATTGACAAAACATTAAACACGCCTAATCAATTTAATGTACGTATCTTAGTGGATACAATGTAATTTATCATATTCAAATTACAATAGCTTTTCTAACTTGTTTAAAAAAAAACTATTGAATCTGATACTTGTATTACTGCGTGTTTATCGTCGGTTATCGTTTGCACGATTTATTTTGTAAGTTTAAAATTGTGTACATAGCCCTCCGCCGAGACCCCGTATTTACTATTACTCAAACTACTGCAATATTAAGTAAATATAACATTATACTCTACTTGGTGTTATGCTTCAGAGTAATGTAAATATGTTATTTATAACGAAAAATGACAAATGTTGCTTATGTTAACAAATTCGCATCAACAATTCTGCAAAATGCATCTTTTATTGTTTCGGTCGGCAATATATAAGCCATTCGATCAGTCGTAAAAACCATTGAAGCAGCCAGTATTTAGCAGCTAGTAAGTAATATACGAAATTATTTTCTTATATTTGTTGGCTTTATATATTTTCTAAATGTAAAATGTATTAAATATTACGGAATAATAATTTTAAATATAATTACTTTAAAAAAACGCTTGCATACTATTTAAATGATATTTTTTTAAATTATTCGAATACATTTTTTTAAAAAAAACTTTTATTTGAATAATTTGTTATCTAGATGATTATTTAAATATATTTTATTAGAATAATGCAAAACTATGGTTATAACTACGCATAGAATAGTAAGAATAGTACGTATCAAAGAGTTTATTTGAAAGTTATTTTATCCTAGTAAGCCAGTACAGTGGGGTCGAGGCACAATGGGATCAAAGTAGTAGGGACGGAGAGATCACAGGTCTACAGGAATTATTTTTAATAAAAGTGGTAAAACCACTTTCAAATAAACGCTATAAACGCTTTGATGCTAATTTTTAACGTAGTCGTTTAAAAAAAAAATGGTTCGTATTTTCTTGATGTTTTGTTTATGTTAAATGTTTTTCCATCCACACCACACATATTGTAAATAGACATCTACATATTATAATATTTTTTAATACTATATGTTGCTGGCCTAATACAAGTGGTGTATAAAGTTATGATATTTTATTGTATTTAGAATCGATGTGAATTGTTTTTTAGTATTGTAGTGTAGGACTTTCAGCAATTTTTTAGTTTTATACCATATTATACTTATGTGGTATTTATTTTAGCTCCTCCTCCAGACGTAGTAACGCTAAGATGTTTACACATTTAACACAAAAAAACTCATGTATTTTTTAAACAAGTGTTTTGCACTAACTGAATAATATCACCAGAAATTGTTGGGTACTCATATTGTTTAAGTACTTAAAAAATAGTAAGGTAAAAAACTATTTAATAAAAGTATTTTATTGATATTAATACAAAATTTGTGTTTGACGTAATATTTGTAACAAAGAGGTACTATCATGCAAGAAAACTGAAACGTTCAAAAAGACAAACAATAAAACATGATACAGTCAAAAACCATTTGTTTTAAAAAAAAAAAAAATAATAATAATAGTAAAACTTGGAAACTTGTATTTGTAAAATCGTATTGTTTAAGTACTTAAAAAATAGTTATTCAAAACTTGTTATCGACCAGTCAAAATGTTTAGTACATTATTCTTAATTTAAAAAGTTAATGATATGTATATGTTAAAATATATGTTTTAAAAGTTGCTATCAAAAAATCTAAGTTCTAGTAAAATAATATTGTAGAGTGGTGTCTTTGAGCAAGCTTGGCTTTTTTAATAATGGCTCAAAAAAATGATTTTATCATTACGGTTCCGCAAAACTACCTTAGCTCTAAATTTTTTTATTTAGGTCCCTAATACTTTTTTCTAATAAATTGGCAACTTAGTGCGATGAACTGTGCGGTTATATACCATCGTTTATACTTTTCCTAGTTTAAACATTTATTATTCTTATATGTTATTACATAAAATTCGAGTGTATAGAAAATGTATAACGATACTATTTTCTTAATTGCGACACATTATTGAATGAAGAGGAATTAAATTTATTAAGAGATCGGAAAATTTGAACACAGTAATGAAAAATGTGTTAACTAGAATACATAACATACGTATAAAGTTATGATATTTTATTGTATTTAGAATCGATGTGAATTGTTTTTTAGTATTTTAGTGTAGGACTTTCAGCAATTTTTTAGTTTTATACCATATTATACTTATGTGGTATTTATTTTAGCTCCTCCTCCAGACGTAGTAACGCTAAGATGTTTACACATTTAACACAAAAAAACTCATGTATTTTTTAAACAAGTGTTTTGCACTAACTGAATAATATCACCAGAAATTGTTGGGTACTCATATTGTTTAAGTACTTAAAAAATAGTAAGGTAAAAAACTATTTAATAAAAGTATTTTTATTGATATTAATACAAAATTTGTGTTTGACGTAATATTTGTAACAAAGAGGTACTATCATGCAAGAAAACTGAAACGTTCAAAAAGACAAACAATAAAACATGATACAGTCAAAAACCATTTGTTTTAAAAAAAAAAAAATAATAATAATAGTAAAACTTGGAAACTTGTATTTGTAAAATCCAACAGTTCTTGTAACTTAAACAATTTATAATGCTAACACGGTTAGCTTAACAGCCATTTGTCTTTTGTGTACATTTAATTTCGAGTTCTTAGGCTACCAGAATGAATGCATAAAACGTGTTTAATGTAACCAATTACCAAATACAAAATTCGCCTTGACATAGTTAAGAGGACTCTACGCCTGTGTAGTTTCTATCGAAAACAACTATTCAATTTAACCTTACTCTGAAACGCGTGAAACGACAATAACTTTGAAAAATAGTATACATATTTTGTCAATAATTGTTTTTCGAGCTTTTTCGTATATTGTGGTTACGTAATCTTTGCATCAATATAAGAGAACCATGATTTTGTACTTGCATGTTTACAACAACAGAAGTTTAAACTAAACGCCAGAGCAATGTAAATAAGTAAATATAATAATAAAGAAATAATTCCACATGGAGTTAAAAATGTACATAGACAACTCTGTAATAAATGTTTAGATTTTATTATAAGTATACCTCTGTCTAATATAACATGTTTTAATTTGCATTATTGTTTGCAGACCAAAATGAAAGTTTTCTATGTGTTAATGATCTGTTCCTTTATATATGTTTTTGCAACTGATGGTATGTAATTTATTTTTACAAGTACCTACTTAAGGTACTTGTTTGAGGTTTGAAAAAAACTAAACAAAATTAAATAATTTTCAACTTTTTTACAGATGATCCAGCCGATAGAAAGGTTCTTGACACTACAAGTCAGTACACTTTTTTGTTTGCAAAATACTTTTTTAAGTTCTAAGACTTATATTTTTTATACATAATTTATTACAGACATACTGATTTACAAACATATTGATAGAAGTAAGACATTTTAGTACTTAACATTTTTTTTTTATATAGCGTTTATTTGAAAATTTACAATCTAAATCGAAAAAAATAGTGGTCTAATCATATGTAAGCGACTGTTAAGTTGTTTTCACTTTCCTTTAATATGGGGTCCCCAAGTCAACTTATGGTCAAGGATAAGGCCGAGATATTTTGCTTTGTTTTGATGTGGTATGATTTTGCCATTGTAAAAGATTTGTGGACAGTTTTGAGGTCGAAGAGAAAAAGTCATGTGTATGGATTTGGTCTCGTTGATGTTGATTTTGCAGTTATTAAACCATGTTGAAAATGTATTTAAGTGGGTTTGGACATATAGACTAGCTACAGTAGGGTCTACATTGGATGCATATAGATGCATATACTTAAAAAAAAAATTGTATTTCAACCCTTAGGTTGGTTTGCAACTCTTCTTCTCCATTCTTCACGGTCACTCGCTATTTCTTTTAATACCCTATAGCTTCCAATTCCTGCATCTTTCTTGATTTGTCCAATAAATGTAATGCGAGGTCACCCAGGTGATCTTTTTCCTTCAATCAAGCCCTCTAGTATTGTGCTGTACAGTTCTTCTGGATGTCTTAATATGTGTCCCACCATTTTTCATCTTCTCATCTTAATCAAATAACGCAACTTGTGTAGAGAATATTTCTTAAAAGGGTCTCCTACACGAACAATATGATTATATATTAATTCAGTTTGTACAATATTATTAATAATCTAAAATAGATATTATAGAATAATTGTGTAATAAAATTATTCCTACATGGTTTATCACTAGTCAAAAGTGTCACGTTTAACTCAAAATGTACTTCTATTCAGAACATTTTTGTACATAATATAATGTCGCATTAAAATTTCATTTTTTTTTTTTAAGTCAATCAATTATTTGTTTATTTCAGACACCATTCGAAACAAAATAAAACATTTTGCTTATCGAAGAAATGAATTCTCAATGAGTAACTATTATTTTACAACAAATCCGATTAAGTATGCTAGTAGAAGAAATGTTTTAGAAATAATACAATAATTGCAAAAACAATTTATCAGTACATTTTTATGAGTAATATAAGTATTAAATTTAAATCACTCAATATTTATTTGTAAATGTAACTTCATTATTATTCTTAAACATGTATTTTCTACCTTGACTTCCTCTTTTAAATTTATAATTGAACATGAAGTTAAGTCAAATATCATTTTAAATACATTTTTGTAATCATAATTTCAGAGGAATTGACTTTTATGTTTGCAATACCTGGTAATAATTGAAAATATTTCCATATAGTTGTTAGTTGTTTACAAGTATAAAATGTTTTCCTTTTAATTTCAGAACAAAATATTGATGGCGACCCTATTATTCGTAATTCATATTAATAATACATTACACGCGGCTTTTACATTAGTTTTCAATTTATGAGAAAAATCATATGCATATTAATTTTTCCATAACAATACACAAATATAAAAATGCATTTTATTTTAAATTTTAGAGCACGCATTAGAGATTCAATTGCAACAAGGAGTATTACAAGACTCAGGTAATTATAAAATTCAACATAATTTCACAAACACGTAACAAAACTGAAAGTTAAAGTTCAATTGTGCTTAAAAATATTCGGTTTGAAATCATAGTCATAAACTAAATATGTTTCACTTAGTGTCATTAAACAAATTTTGGAATGACCCCAGCCAAAATATAATATCCATGTTACTTGTAATTTTCAACAAAATTGTGTCGAAGCATCTTTCATAAATAAACAATTAAATTCATTAATTGGCCAATGTAATCTTAATTTATAAAGTTACTGTTATACATAGATATAATAAAATACTTATTTTCCATAACCGTACAATTATTTATTGCATATTTTTATGTTTTTGTTAAAGGCTATACTAACGAGCAGGCTACACATGAAGGTAATTACGCTTTATTCGACAGTCGTAAAAAGCGCTTAATATTTAGATGGTTATTCGAAATCTATCTTAAGTCAATCCAGGTTTCCGTAACGTAATAAGAACAAACTGTTAAAATGAAAACGATCAGTTTACAAGTTGATAGTAAACCAAACATAACATAATACAAATATTTGTTCAACAACTATACGTTCGTTTAAACGCTTGTAATTTAACGTTTTACTTTACCTCCAACTGAACGCAAAAAAATGATACTTTCGTTAAACATTTAAACTTATAACGTTACACGTTTTAACTTCAAAAACCGCTACCCTGAACACAACGTGTAAAAATGATTTGTTCATCAAATTTTTTTGCACATAAACGTTTTAGATTTGTTCATTTAAATAATATTTTTTTTAACTTAATCTTCAATCATACAACTTATTTATTTATTGATACATATAATGCCAAACACGTCGTAATTCATATTCAATGAAACGTAAAAAAAGTTTTCTGTAGTTTCAGTATATTTTTTACGTTTTCAATCCATTTTTTGTATTATGCTTTGAGTAATATTTTAAGGTCAATAATAAAATAATTACACCCAATGGATACAAAAGAAATGGCTTTATAAAAACAATTTGTTATTTTTTTTATTATGAAATCATTTTTAATCTAAATCATAACACATATATGTACCAAAAATATATTCGTTTAAAATACAACTAACACAAATATACATTTAATTAACTTCCATTTATATCTACCATACAAATATTAAACAACAAGATTTTTTGATTTTTTTTGTTTTTTAATAAAAACTAATATCAGCTTGTATTCACAGTCGAAATTTGTGTGCGATATTTATTTCTACTAGCATTTAAATTGTCAGTGAAAAATTATGCCAATAATTGTAGTTGCCGCACATCTTTTTACCATAATAAAATATCACAAAAAGTATTTGACATTGATTCAACTACTATTCATTTAAGTTTCTACTTTGGATTACCATTTAGAGTTTGTCATTTTACAGTTGTTATATTTAAATAACATACTAGTCGAATAAAATATTATTTGGGTTGAAAAACTGGGTAGATTTTTCGAATAATTTTTTTTTTAATCAGACACCATGTAAACGTATAATTCCAAGAAAAACATATTTTAACGATTTGTGTGTTTGTTTAATGTGTGTTTATCGAATAATGTAATTTGTAATTTTGAAATTTTACCTTGTTTACTGAGGTTACAAAATTGCCATAATAAAAACACTTTACAAAATTATTTATAATTTGTTTAACACTTTTATTGATTTTTTCAGCTAGTGATCAAATTAGTGTGTTTGGTCTTGGAGAACAACGAAGAGATCTGTTAAAACCCTCTTTAGCTTTGTTAATAATCGATATTATGATGAGTAAATAATAAACTATTAAAACAAATAGTAGTTACATGGAAAAAATACATATTCAGACCAACAAACTTTACAGTTAACACATTACTTTTATAATTGAAATAACTACACAAATAAATCGTCCGACTAATTTTCTAGTTAAATAACCTATAAACTTAGTTCAACAGGTTATTTAACTTTTATTCCACCGTTACAGTTTTTTATTAGGTTAATATCCGTACCTTAGAGCAAAAGGGTATTTAGTTAAGAAAATTTCATTTTCCGGTATTTTCCTCAATTCACTGCCTTATATGACGTTTGTACACTTAAGAGTCCTTATAAGTTTATTGACTTTAACTAGTTAGTTAGTTATTTATTAATTAGATATTTAGAGGTGGAAGTAAAGGAAAAAATGATTGCCAAGGGTGTAAGTGAAAGTCATAGAGGAAATGTATGAAGGGGCAAGTACAACAGTGAAAAGTGTGTGTGGAGAAATGGAAGATTTTAGTGTAAGAGTTAGTGTGCATTAAAGTTTAGAGTTGAGTCCTTACTTGTTCTTTTGAGTAATGGACGAGGTTACGAAAGATATACAGGGGGAGGTGCCTTGGTGTATGATGTTAGTGGATGACGTAGTGTTAGTGGGGGAAAGTCCGGAAGAATTAGCTGAGAGACATGAAGATTAGTGAAAAACGCTTGAAGAGAAAGGACTGAGGACTAGTAAGAGTAAAACGGTGACAATTGCTTTAATTTTGGAAAAAGTTTTAGGGCTGGCCACGTAATACAGATGGGTGATAAGGAAGTGTGTGGGGTTGATAAGTTTAGGAAGAAGAAGTTAGTAAATATTAATTTATTAATAAATTATTTTATTTTTCTCTCTCCTGTAAAATTTACATTTGGTGACTCAATACACTTTTTCTCTTGGGTGAGGATATAAGATTAGCCTTAATTTTAATTTATCCAACTATGTATTTTATTGTCAGTGCAGCAAGCTAAATTTGGCTAACCTTTAAACCTTTTTTTTAGACCCAGACTACCACGGTATTGATTTTGTCTTCACATGTCGAATCATAGGGTTGTTCATGAGTACAAAATTTCCAACATCATACACAAAAACTGCTATGGTTTTACCCGACGATACTTGTGTCATTGGTCATGGAAGTGATGGCATAAAATCATACGCATACCAAGGAAAATATATACATCGTGTAAACAACGAAGACCATTCGGATGTAGGGAAAACCATAAATCATGAGTTATGGTAATTAATAATTTCTATACTTTTTTTAATAAATAACACATAAACTACAAAGTACTTCTGTTATTATATTTAAATATTTTTTTGCGTGCCACGCGAATATCAAAGTTGTCAAATAATTCAATATACTTCATAGAAGTAATAATATAATAACATGATAAATATAATAAAAGATTTATTTGAGTTTTGCCGTTTTGTTTGTCTAATGTTTATTTATTTTATCTTTTTTAATGTTATTTTTCCTCTAATATTATTTCCACTGTTTTAAACACACTATTAAGTCTACTATATGAATTCACCAAGACAAAGTCAACACTATTTATGAATCGATAATTTAAATAACACACTTTAATACCTTAGTTATGGCTCTCCCATACCAATATTAACCACCGCCAATCATTAACGGAGCCAAGAGAGTTAGTTGAAGAATCAAGTATTGTCATGCGACGTTTAACCAGGGGCGGATAGGCCCACCTGGACACCGGGATTTTCCCGGTGGGCCGCTACTTATATTGACGAAGATAGGCCGATGAAAAATATTGTTATTGACGATATTGTACAACGTACATACATACAACTAAAATTAAATTATTGTAAATACAGCACCTCAATTTAACACTTTTTAAGTTTGCTAGCTTACACTGTGCTTGGTTTGGTCTGTACTGTCTTGAAAATACTAACTCCTGATTTGCATTGAAGCGTTTTTTTCGCTTTTAACATTTAATTTTACCAATTTTGAAGGCTTTTATACAAAAATCCAGAAAAATGTTTTAGCTTCGATGTGGATCAGAGATACTATTCGTTTTACAAAGATGTGGGCTTCTTTTGTCTATATATCGGGTGATTGGTTAACTATGGACCACTCAATATCTTAGAAGATATTAGACTTTTTTAATTTTTTTTTTTAATACTTTTATAGTAATTAGTTGGGACAAATTTTATATATATTTCAAAATTTTAACACCATCCCTTATGCGTTAAAACCATATCAACTTTGGATTTTTAAATGGTAACCCCCAATTTTTTTTTGATGATCATGTTTATTTTTTTTAATTTAATTTTAGGCGTAAAAACTAGGTAAATAGATTGAGTAGTTAACGAGCTACACAGTTATAAAACTAAAGGGAGCGTAAAAAATAAATTAAATATCTTGGAGACGCTAACATATTAAGGTGACACTTGACTGCTCTCTGTTATTATTTATTGACAATTAACTTTGACAATAGCTATAGTAGCGTTTCAAAATCATAACCTTACCAAACACTATTTACTTTAGGTAAATAATTCACCGATAGTAAATAATAATGATAACCGCTATATCGACTGAAAAATATACCACCACTACACACTTTTACATTTATTTTGTAAAATAGTAGGTATGTTTAATTTGTTATCAATACCTTGTGTATATTTTTCCAGCATTTAGCAATTATTTGTTTTGGTTAATTTGACACATTTTGTTTATTCATGCGATTTGTACGTCTTAATTTCATAGTATATTATAATAATATAGTATCATAACTTACTAGATCTATGAACTTGTCAACATTTATTGTGTTTTAAATAATAACATTGATATTAAATATCCATAATCAATGTGAATGCCGAGATGGAGTTTTGCTCAAGTGACAAGTCTATAAAACCTAAAACCTTACTTATAAAATGTATGCACATCAAATATCAAAATTAAAGGTTCTTATAATAATAATATGTTATTTAAAATAAATAAAGTAATTTGAATTATGCTTGATGATATTTTAGTTAAAACTTTTATTTTACAGTATTATTACAATGTTATTTATTAAAGTTTTTTTAAAAATATTTTCACTAACAGAATTAATAATTTGACTAGTTAAGACACCAGTAAAAGTTACATTTATTAAGACCAAGACGCTAAATAATCATAATAATTGAAAAATTAAAATAATTAACTTTTTGATTAATTTTCAAGTATTAAGTAGTCGTATTTTTATAATAATTTGTTCTGTGTTGATATTAATCTACGCTAGTAACGAATCGTTTTGGTAGAACCACAGTATATACTCTATATAAGACCGTAATTAGACCACGGTAACCTATGGTTGAAATTAAAAAAAAAACTATTTACTAGGGCTCATAATATTGTTTGTTTATACAAAACAGCAGCTAATGCCTAATATTCAATACGTACAGGTACACTGCGCCGCTAGGAATACTACAGAAAAAACAGATAAGAAGACATTACCCATATAATATTATAGATTTATTATTAGTTCGTTTTCATTGTGACCGACGACCGTCAACTATTAACTTTAATCTACAGCCGTATCGTTAATCAATCTTATTTTGTGAAACGTGAGATCTGGCGATAAACGATTTTTTTCTTTAGTTGTAAAACTTATAAAAGCATCTCATAAAAACTAATATTATAATATTGTTGTACTAAGCTATAACTTTAAAAGTACTTGTCTGATTTAGCTAGTTTTTACGCCTAAAATTAAATTTAAAAAAAATAAACACGATCATCAAAAAAAAATTGGGGGTTACCATTTAAAAATCTAAACTTGATATGGTTTTAACGCATAAAGGATGGTGTCAAAATTTTGAAAAATACATTAAATTTGTCCCACCTAATAACTATAATAGTAAAAAAAAAAAAGTTTAAAAAGTCTAATATCTTCTAAGATATTGAGTGGTCCATAGTTAACCAATCACCCGGTACAGTGTAACCTTTTTAAAGACTGGACTAATTCCTATTAGACTAATTTACAATTAGTTATTTTAGAAACTTATGTTTCGAAAACATTTAAAATGAATATAATAACATTATTTAACCAATGTGGTTCAAACTATATTTTTTTTCTATGTCGGAGGGTGGTGTACAAATCAATGGTTAAGATATGTCAAATATATATTTTTGATATTTACAGATGTTTCATTATGTATAAGACACTTTTTTTTAAACATTTACAATTACTAGATTTGGAAACTTATGTGTCGAAAAAATATTTAAAGAATATAGTATACATTATTTAACGAATGTTATTTAAACTATATAGAAACAGAGTTTTTAAAGTATGACGCAAATGGCAATGTTATTTGGAAAATACAGCACATAATATTATGGTCCTAAAAAACACGTGGGCCAGATAAATCATTTTCGTTTGCAACAAACAATTATGGATAGTGTTGCATAAAATTATTGTCCGACATTTCAAATATTCCTGATTATTTTCGAACACAATAAGTCAAAATGTGAAATATTATATTTAACCTATAATCTAAGATGATTAAGTTACTCTCTAAAAATACAAAGTTGGTCCAACTAAAACTATGGTTACTTTAAGGGCACAATACCTTTCTAGTTGGACTGAGGTATTAGAAACTTGATCCTAATAAAAGTATGCTTATTAAAGGGACTCAATAAATTACTAGTTGTAATAACTAAATCAAAATTAGTTCCAAATAAAATTTAATTGAGCTAACTATTAATTTAGTTATTCCACCTAGAAATGTATGTGTATTAATCAAAATCACTATATTAATCAAAATGTAAGTTAGACCAACTAAATATTTTTTTTTTTAGGAGGGTAGTATACAAACGAATGTTTTAGATATGTCAAATATATGTTTTTTGATATATACAGATGTTGTATTCAGGATAACACATTTATTCTAAAATAATTCTAATTTGTAGTTTCCCTTTTTAAAAACATTTAGAATTACTAAATTTGAAAACACATGTAAAAAAAAAATTCAAATGAATATAATATACAATATTTGACAAATT